GCGCCCTCAAGACATGGCTTTTCCAGCAAGCGGGCCTGACCTAGGGAGGATTTTAGGTAGGGATGATTTTAGAAGCAATTTTAATTGGAAACACAGCCGTCAATATTTGGTTTTTAATTCGGTTTTATTGGGGTTTATATTGTTGTATTTTTGTATTTTTATTTGTGTATAGTATCTGTTTTTTAAATATGCTGTGAACTGCCCTGAGTCCTATGGGAGAAGGGCGGTATACAAATTAAATTTGAATGAATGAATGAATGAATTGTACTTTCTGAAACTGCAGAAATATCTTCCATCTTGTCTTGATAGCCTATCAAATATTCCAAGATGATTGTCTTAGAACCTCATAATTGTCTTTTTTCCAATTATTTTGTTGAACTAAGCATAGTTTTCCTTTTTGTTTTAATTTTCAACATGAGTTTTAAACAAAGAAGCACTTTTTCTTCCCACTATTTAAAAAAGTTAATAGTAATTGAGATGAAGATGCTGTTTTTCCTTTGACTTTGTTTCAGTTGTGCTAATCACCCATCCCATCTTGAATTAAAGAGAGGATCTGTGACTCTCTTCCTTCTGCTCTGGGAAGTTGATTTGTTGATTTCACCCTAGAATAGCCCTCCGACCATGTATCAGCTGACTATGTATCAGCTAACACTGCAGTTGAAGGGAGATTCTCAGAGTAAAATATGGTGAGCCCTTACAAGTTGGTGATGACAGCTCAGGGCAGGACACTTAACCTTCGAAATAAATTCAATCTTTTTTGTAGTTGCTGGCTGTGACCAAGTTATTCTGCCTTCAGTAAGCACATTCAACCGTTCATATACTGTATGTACTGTACATGGTCTCCAGCTTTTCTCCTAAGTGTTTATTTACTCATTTTTTTCTCCTTTTTATTTAGTTTTGTCTCATCAGAATTGCAGGATAAGCTGATGTGGATGGAAATAGACTTAGGTCATGTTCCATCAATTTTCACTAAGCTGTAACAGGAAGGTGGAAAATACAGAATTTCATTTACAGCCAGAACCAATGTTTCCAGAGGGACTAATAATCTTGACTAGAATCCTGTTGCTTGTTAAGTCTAAATCTGAAAAGTTCTCATGTGCAAGAGAATTTCCCAATTTCTCTCCTTGCTCTACTGCATGACACAGTTTGAAGTGTAAGTCTACTCACAGTCACTGCAGCTTTCCAGGGGACTCTAAGAAGAAGATTCCCCATTACTCTGAGACTTTCATTTGTAAGGTCTAACTTCAGACCTTATCACTGAATATGGCCCCTGTTAAGGACCAAGATGAAAGGGATCATCACAGAATGAGGCAATATGAAGAAACAGTCTCATAACAAAATAGGGTCTGTAGCTGTAAATGACCAAGAGACTTACAGCACTTTGAAAAATTAAAAAAAAAAACATAAACCAAAGTTGCCAACATACAGTATGGCTTTCTAAGTTCTCCTATCCAACATCTGGAAGATTACCAACCAGCCATTCCTGTGTCCTTCATTTTTTGTTCAAGCTAAGTCATATATTGCCCAACGCTTACAGAGGTTCTTGTGCACAGAATCTACCTCCTCTGAAACATGTAGACCCCCTTCAGATACCAAATATAACATGCATGCAAGGAGTAGAGGAAAGAAGGATAGGAAAGAGAAAGAAAATGAGGGCATCACAAGAATAAAATAAAAAGAATAGAGACAAGTGTGATCAGTTAAAACTCCTATTTGCATGTAATTGCAACAGGGATCATCAAAGAGAACTCCAAAATAAAGGATCTATCCAGATTTATGGAGAATAGAATCAGTCTATCACCAGGTATAATATAGACTAGTGATATTGATCTACATAAGATTTTGACTAGTGGTAGCTTATCATTATTAAATCAATTTACACTTTAAGGAATAAAAATCTGTTATCTCAATTCAAACTATGATAAGTGACAGAATTAAAATTCTTAAGGAATGTTAATCAGTTTGCTTGATGATGGATCCCTAGTTTGAGACTTAAAAGTCAACAATGGAATCACCTATAAGATTCACATGGATGTTTACTAGTTTTAAGATTCTGCCTCATCTGGTATCAGACATTATTCAAAGATATAAGGTTATCTCTTGTAGTTTATATACCGTAGATTTGTGAATGAACTCTTTAAATTGTGGCTGATTTAATAAGGCATCAGTCCTGTGATAATTCAGCATAACTACCGACTTATAACTACAGTTGGAACCAGAAGTTCCAACTTAACAGTTGTTAAGTAAGTCCTGCCGAATATTATAATCTCTTTTGTTGTGGTTATCAAGCAAATCAATGCAGTTGTTAAGTGAATCATGCAATCATTAAGTGAATCCAGTTTCCACAATTGACTGTCAGAAGCCAACTAGGAAGGTCAGAAATGGGGATCACATGACCTTGGGAAAGCTGCCACTGCCATAAATACATACATGTCTGTTGCCAAATGCCCCAATTTTGATCATGTGATTATACATGATTATACAATGGTTGTTAATGTGACGACCTGTCATTTTTTTCAATGCAGTTGTAACTTCAATCAGGAGATATGGTAAGGTATAAATGTGAATATTCACATTCACAATATTTTGATTGAATTCATTCATATTCTGCAAAGATGATTACTTGGTTATCTTGTTTTAAGAGATTATGTGAATCTAGCCAATTGTGCCTTCGTCAGAAAATTAAGATTAAAAAATATGACTTAAATCTTCTGAGTTCTGCCTATAGTGGTAAATGCCTGATTGTTGTCTGCAGAAAAAAAAAACGGGACGGAGATTATTGTTCCCAACCCTTCTAAGCCCTTCCAACGCATTGCAAACTCAATTATAGTATTGGGTTTGTAGTGCATTATGTGGGTGGGGCGTGAGGTGAGGTGGTGGTGGTTTCAGGCAGAACCCTGAAAAAACGCCTCTGCAAAAACCACGACCAGAGGCAACGGACACGGAACCCACAAATTCGCCACTTGCCTTCCTCCCTCTCAATTTAAAGTAGACCTATTCCCCGGGTTCTTGCGCCGTTCCAGAATTTCGCCCGCAGGAACAACACCAGGGGGCGGCACAACAAACGCCCAGATTCCTTCAGAGAAGCGCGGCTGGCTCGAACTTTTGGAAGCGAATGGCTTTGCGCCTCCCTCGCCAAGTTTTTGCCCGGCGGGCGGCGCGCACGCAAAGCGAGACGGTGGGACGGCGGCTGCGGCCAGAGGTAGCCCTGTGAGGCTTGAAGCAGCGGAAGCTTCCAATCCTGGCTGGCTACTTCAGACTCAGGAGAGAGAGTGGGAGAAAGAAACGAAGCGAGGGAGCTGCTGCCAGGAGAATGTGGAGGCGGCGGCATAGGTTGCCATCGCTGCCGACTTCGTCCGCTTGGTGCAGGCGCTGCGCGGCAGGCGACAGCGCTGTCCTGTCGTTGCTTTTGCTGCTGGCGGGGCCGCTCAGTGCCTTCAACCTGGATGATGAGAAGCCCGTCGTCTACAGCGGTCCCGATGGCAGTTACTTCGGATACGCGCTGGATTTTTACAGCCCTGCACCGAATGCGTAAGTAGCGGTCCTCTTTGATGGGCGCGAGAATTGCCTTGCTTGTTTTCGCTTGGAAATTGCAGGAGGAGGATGGGTGCCGGTCGTTGTGATTCACCCAGGCAAGTCATAGCATAGTTGAGCCCCGGAGATAACGAGTTTAGATCGATTCGGAGCCGATACTTACTTTTTTCCAGCTCCATCCTAGACGTGGTTCCATCCTCAAGGAAGTGCCAATGAAGTTGTTATTCTCATAGTCACTATTGACTGTGACCGTACAACGCAGAACTGCATAGGTTTGCCCGGAAACAACTCCCTTGTTAGACAATATTTCCAAATAAATGTTCGTGGCGATAGCGTATCAGAGAATGCGGATCTACGTAATTGGCATTCCGCATTGTTGAATTCAATACGATTGAACTCTGAGCAGAAAGTACAGATTCTGTTGTTCATGGAGGTTCTATAAATTAAAATAGTGGGGATTCTGAAAAAAATATTTAATAGAGAATAAGTGGTGGATTTGCACCCAATCCAAACAATCTTCATCTTTTGCCTATAGTGTCAGATAATGTAATGTAATGAGTGCTCTGATAATTGTTGTGAATTTTAGTGACAGCAACAAAATATATGCAAATCCAGCATTTCCTATCTTTTAATTGAGCTCTACTAGTGTGCTGAGCTATGGTCTTGTGGAGGAATCACCCAGGAATCCACACACCTCTTTCCTCTAGAGAAGATTGAATCGATAATGACTTCAATAGAGTCAGAAGAACTGCATAAAACTGTTATGCAAATAAGTAGGAAAGTTGTAGAGGAACATATAGTAATGAGCTGCTTGTTCTGATGTTCAGTTGCAAGCCACTTCCTCTACTTCAGAGTTCAGGCTAGTACAGTCTTTCCCAAAAATGCACTGACTCTCTAGTCTCAAAAGATCTGTACCAAATTTTCCAGCCACATGACTGGGAATCTTGGGAGATATAATCTCCTCCCATTTGGAGGTAATCCAGATTCAACATAATGATTTCACATCTATACATTTTACCTATAAAGTTGGATAGTAACATTTTATCAATACTTTATATGATTTAGAGAAGAACCTTCAAGAAAAATAGATTTCTTCTGTTTCAACCCTAGAATTTGATATGTCTAAGATTACCTTTATAGTATTCTTTGAGCAGGACTACAGCAGATGGCAGCATTGAGACAACCTTGGCTGATTCCACAACAGCTGAACAGGGGTCAGAACAGAGTAGAACTTGGTATTTTGAGCGAAAGATTATCAGGACGGTCCAGGACTGTAGAATGCAATTCCGTAGAAGACTGGAAGAATGCATTGGCAAATTATTTCCACATTGCTGCCAGGGAAATTCTTTAGATGTGTCCAAAAAAATCACAAGAAATTGAGTTCAACTCAAGAGAGTCTTTGCCCTTTTAATTACATAGGAAATTAAATGATCAGTTTCTGATTTTAGAAGCCAGCAGTTTTTCCACTAGTATATTGTAGGCTCTATCCTTAGACATCAAGAAAACATTATGTTGCAAACGGTGAATTATTGTCATTAACTTGATGAAATCAGTATAGAAATGAAGCCAGATTGGTATGTATGCTTTCTCTGCTTTTTCTACCCTAAACTGCTTTGTGTTTCATAAATGAGTGGATGAATGAATATCCTTGCATGTTTAAATGAAGTCTGTGTGGGGAAAAGTAGAACTTCTATTTGTGTATTTGTGGCCTGTTGCTCTGTGGCATCCCATTTACATCTAAACTCACCATTTGATATTACAGGTAGAGGATGCTGGTATTGTGCCCCAAATGTTAGGAATGGACATTGACTATACAAATGTGGACGTTGTGTGGGGAAATGAATCATGCAGGTATCTGAATGATTCTGAAGATTATATCCTAATTATGAAACATGGTGGCATTGAATGGATCCTGGAAGACCTCAATGTATTGATGATCGGTTTAGGGAAGAAGTTTTTTGTACCCTTTTGCCATTCTTCAAATGGGCAAATTGATGGGATTTGGTGCTATATAGTCCAAACTTGAAACTTGATTACAATAAGATGAATTTAGTAAAAGACCTAATAATAGCTGCAGAAAGGATTAAAAATCAAGTGAAAAAGATTAAAAATTGGACATTTCTTGAAAATGATCAATTGCATAGTTTTTGGCTCAAATATCTAACTAGCTTATGTTCAATTATAGCTAAACAGCTTAATGAAATATTGCATATAGGAGACATCAGAGAGAGGTTAACAACTGGCAAAACATATCTGATTCAAAAATAATCCAGTAAAAGGGACAACACCAGGAATCTATAAATCAATAACATGCTTGCCTAAAATGTTTAAATTACTTACAGGTATAATAGTGGATAACATCCAAGATTATTTAGGAGAATATAAGATCCCTCCAATAGAACAGAAAGAAGATAAAAGGAAAAGCAGAGATATAAAATACCAACTTTTGATAAAAGTTCTGGAGAATTGCAAATGTTGAAAAACTAATATATATATATCATCTGTATTGATAAAAAATGTTTAATTTATTACCATATATTTGGATCATCAAAAGTTTGGAAACAACTGGTGTCTATAAAAACATTGGAATGTTTATAGAATAATGAAGCAAGATTGGAAATAAAGGTTGGAAATGAAAAATGAAATGAAAAATAGGAGCTTGTTAACAATAGAAACCACTTACCAAAGTGACTTTATTATTTGTTATTGTCATGATTCCATTTTCAGTGTTTTGAAGAAACCAAATCTTCGCTATCAAACAGCAAACACTGCAAATAAAATGTCACATTTGCTTTATATGGATGATCTGAGCTTTATGGAAAATTGGGAATCAAAATCTAGTCATTGACAAACACTGTAAGAATTTTCAGCATAGATATAGTAATTAACCTAGAGAAATGTGCTACAGAAGCATTAAAACAGGGTACAATCAAAAATAGTAATGGAATTAAAATGCTAAATGGTCAGACCATCAGGAGTCATCAGGATGAAACCTATAAGGATCTGATTATTTTATGGTTGGATAATATCAAGCACAAACAGGTAAAAAATGTGATTAGTAAGAAACATATCCAAAGAGCAAGAAAATTGTTAAGATCAAAATTGAACAGTGGAAACAACATCTAGACCATACCTGTGATATGAATCACTGCTGGAATTATTAACTGGGACACAAGCTGAACTGGTCAGTTTGGACTGAAAAATAAGAAAGCTAATGACTGCTCATGAAGCTTTATATCCCCATATTGATATTGATAGATAATACCTGCTCACAAAAATAGAGACAGAGTTTTCTACAGATCCAGCAAACTATCAAAAAGGACAAGCATGTATTGTCTGATTATGTAAAAGATAGCCAAGAACAAGCATTGATACAAGTTAAAAGTTGGGACTTACTGAATATATGGGAAACAAATCATGAATATTGAAAATGTAATAAAAACACAAATAGAACACTAGCAAGGAAAAGCACGACTACATGATCAATTTCTACAAAAAAATCAAGGGGAAAGTGGAGAAAGATAAATCCTGGCAATGACTTAGAATAACAGAGTTGGGAGGGACCTTGAAGGTCTTCTAGTCCAATCCCCTGCTCAAGTAGGAGACTCTATACCAGGGGTAGGCAACCTTGGCTCTTTTATGACTCGTGGACTTCAACTCCCAGAATTCCTGAGCCAGCTGGCTCAGGAATTCTGGGAGTTGAAGTCCACGAGTCATAAAAGAGCCAAGGTTGCCTACCCCTGCTCTATACTATTTCAGACAAATGGTTGCCTGGTCTCTTTTTGAAAGTCTCCAGTGATGGAGCACCCACAACTTCTGAATGCAAGCTATTCCGTTGGTTGATTGCTCTAACTGCTAGGAATTTTCTCTTTAGTTCTAGTTGCTTCTCTCATTGGTAGAACAATGGTTCCATCCATTGTTTCTTGTCTTGCCTTTTGGTGCTTTGGAAAATACTTTGTTCTCTCGTTTTTATAGGATCCATTCAAATATTGGAACATTGCTATCATGTCTCCCCTAGTCCTTCTTTTCATTACATTAGAAATATCCAATGCCTGTAACCGTTCTTAGTATGTTTTAGCCTCCAGCCCCCTAATCATTCTTGTTGCTCTTCTCTGCACTCTTACAACTGGACTCTTACTTACAACTGGAACATTAAAAAAAGAAACTGAAGGTTTTATTTTGGCTGTGAAAGAGTAAGTTGTTTGAACTAATGCAATCAAGACCAGATCTGATAAATTATCCAATGATTCCAAGTGCTGATTGTGCAAGGAGGCAGAAGAAACAGTAAATCATACACTCATCTCATGTAAGAAAATCGCACAAACTTATAAACAAACTTATGTCAGATAAACAAAGACATAAGACAGTTGCCAAAGTCATCTGTATAAATTATTGTGTGCCAGTAATGAAAAAGTGGTAGGAAATATAGTGTAAAATGTAATTGAAAATGAGCAGGTTAAAATATAGTTGGATTCCTGCATACAAACTGATAAAGTTTTGGCTCATAACACACCATATGTCAAGCAATAACATCCAATGTTCTTTGAAAAGTTATTTCTTTCGGAACATGACACCATATTTAACTGTGGTTGAAAAGCAGAAAGTGTGGATAATTTATGCAACAATACCAGTGGGTAATATGATAGAAGACAAAGAATTGGAAAATATCACAAGGTCTTAAGATCTGAAAATCAAAATGGAAATAGAGGATAGTCTCTTATTGATTTAACACAGGATCTAATTGATTTAAAAGGAAGATTTGACCAATTGTTTTGTATTTATAAAAAGTGGGTCTGAAAAGGACATGAATAAATTATCACTAAGGTTTACAAAATATTACTGAAATTGAATTTGGAAAACAAATATATTTACTAATGTACATATAATTTAAAAAGAAGAGAGAAAGGAAAAGTTTTTTAAAAAAATGTTTGAGCAATAATAAATTATAATTTAAAAGAAAAAAATCCCTTTAAAAATAATGAATTAGAAGTAACTCTAACTGTAAAGATGATAATTTCTAAAAATGTTTAGAGTTTTAAAATGAATATAAAATTGGAACAAGAAGTTTTCCCTTTGGTTTGTTGGTTAAAGAACTTGAAAGTGTGTTGTGATTTTTGCTATTATAGATGATGACAGGGCAGAAAATCTAATAAGTGAATAGAAAGATGTATTATTTCTCACAATGGAAAAAAAGGATGGGGGAAAATGGATTTGGTTGGGATAGCAATGTAAACGGTTTTAAACAAAGAAAATATTTTACTCGGTCTTATTTCCATTGGGAAATCACTTCTAGTTTTTTATGCTTGAAATAGAAAAAAAATGAGATTGAATAATTGTTTACTTAGAGAAATGGCTAGTATAGCTAAATATACTGCAAAAAGTTAATATTGCACTACTATAAAGAGTCAGAAATCAATGTTTTCTTTCTTTCTTTTTTATCCTTCATCTCTATTTTTAAATTTTTATAATCCTTTATGTTATAATAAATTTTAATGAAAGATTGAAAAAAAATCAATGTGGAAGGATTATGGCATAAACCATCTGTGGTGGTCCCAGGAATTTTCGGCACACTGGCTACCATACAAAAAAATCTTGCATGGTATTTAGAAAATCTGTTCATGGACAAAATTTCCATCTTTTTAATTGCAAAAGGCTACACTGCTTGGATCCACACATAGGCTATGCCGATACATGATGACATTCTAGGTTTTTGGAAGAACTCAATATATATGAAGGTCAACAGTAGTTAAAAAACTGGCAGCTGTGGCTCTCCGTTGAAAAGATAATAATAGTAGTAGTAGTAGTAGTAATATAATAATAATAATTAATAATAATAATAATAACAACAACAACAACAACAACAATAATAATAATAATAATAAAGTTGGAAGGGACCTTGGAGGTCATCTAGTCCAACCCCCTGCTCAGGCAGGAAACCCTATACCATTTCAGACAAATGGCTGTCCAGTCTCTTCTTAAAAACTTCCAGTGTTGGAGCATTCACCACTTCTGGAGGCAGGTTGTTCCACTGGTTAATTGTNTTGGCCTTTTTGGCAGCTGCAGCACACTGCTGGCTCATATTTAAGTGATTGTCCACTAGGACTCCGAGGTCCCTCTCACAGTTACTACTATTGAGCAAGGTACCCCCTATACTATACCTGTACATTTGGTTTTTCTTGCCTAAATGTAGAACCTTGCTTTTTTCACCATTGAATTTCATTTTGTTAGATAGCGCCCAGTATTCAAGTCTGTCCAGATCCTCCTGTATCTTAAGCCTGTCTTCTGGAGTGTTGGCTATTCCTGCCAGCTGCAAATTTGATGAGTTTCCCATCTATCTCCTCGTCCAAATCGTTGATGAAGATGTTGAAAGCACTGGGCCCAGAACAGAGCCCTGGGGCACCCCACTACACACTTCCCTCCATGTGATGCAGTTCCATTGAGGACCACACGCTGAGTACGGCCGGTCAGCCAGCTATGGATCCATCTGGTGGTGATGCTGTCTAACCCACATTTTGCTATCTTATTAAGTAGTAGGTTGTGATCTACTTTATCAAATGCCTTACTGAAGTCCAAGTAAATTATATCTACAGCATTCCTCTGATCCACTAATTTTGTCACTTGGTTAAAGAATGCAATAAGATTTGTCTGTTTTTGACAAACCCATGTTGGCTTTTAGTAATGAATTTGTTTGCCTCTAGGTGTTCGCTGATTCATTGTTTGATTATCTTTTCCAGAATCTTCCCAGGTATTGAGGTCAGGCTGATAGGTCTGTAATTTCCTGGGTCCATTTTTTCCCCTTTTTTGAAGATGGGAACTACATCAGCAATTTTCCAGTCCTCCAGTAGTTCCCCTGTGCTCCAGGATCTTTGAAAAATATAGTTCAATGGTTCTGAGATCACATCTGCCAGTTCCTTGTGAACCCTGGGGTGTAATCCATCTGGTCCTGGTGATTTGAACTCGTCTAGGCTGGACAGGTGCTCACTTACCATTTTCTTGCCTATCTTAACTTGCGTTTCTATTCTGTTTTTTATGCCACTATTTTTGGTAGGTTGGTCTGTTTTTTCCCTTTGTTTAAAGACAGATGCAAAAAATGAGTTAAATAGTTCTGCTTTCTCCCTGTTGCTTTCCTTTACTTTTTTCTTGTTTTTTACATGTTGATAGAAGCTTTTTTTGTTATTTTTGACTTTGGTCGCACGCCTTAGTTCATTTTGAGCCTTAGCTTTCCTCACTTCATCTTTGCAAGCTCGGGCTATTTGTTGATATTCTGACTTAGTTATGTGCCCCTCTTTCCACTTTCTATACTTGTCCTTTTTATCTTTCAATTTATCAGAGTTCTTTATGCAGCCATGCTGGTTTCTTTTGAGAGCTGTTATTTTTCCTCTTTGTTGGTATTGTGCTGGACTGGGCTTTTATTATCTCACTTTTCAAAATTTTCCAAGCTTCTTGAGTTGTTTTCCCCTTGAGGATTCTCATCCATGGAATCCTTCCCAAGCCCTCTCTAAGTTTATTGAAATTAGCTCTCTTAAAGTCCAAGACTCTAGTTTGACTGTGTTCTATTGCCTGTGCTTCCATAATGTTGAATTCCAATACTGCAAGATCACTTCCTCCCAAGGTTCCTGTGGCTTCAACACCTTCTATCATTTCATCTCTGTTAGTGAGAATTAGATCCAAAATGGCTAATCCCCTAGTTCCCTTCTCTACTTTTTGGGAGACAAAATTGTCTGCTAGGTTTGCAAGGAATCTGTTTGATCTTCCACTTGGTCCAGAGTTTGTCTCCCAGAGTTTGTCTCCCAGTTGATGTCAGGGTAGTTAAAGTCCCCCATTACTATTGTGATGTGCTTCCTACATACTTTAGTTAGCTGACTAGCAAAAAGTTCATCTATTTCCTCTGTTTGGTTGGGTGGCTTGTAGTATACACCTATGGTAATGTCGTTTTCCCCCCTTTTATATTGACCCAAATGCATTCAAGACAGTTTTCATCATTGTTGTGTTCTATTTCTGTAGAGATGTAGTTATTTCTTACATATAGAGCAACTCCACCTCCTCTTTTATTTGGTCTGTTTCTTTTAAATAATTTAAATCTCTCTAGCTGTGTGTTCCATTTGTGGGTTTCATCCCACCATGTTTCCGTAATGGCAACAATATCATATCTGCCCTCATTAACCTGAATTTCTAGTTCACCCTGTTTGCTGTTCATACTCTGTGCGTTGGTGTATAGACATTTGAGTCCTTTATGACTGACCCTGTGTTTACTTTCTACGTAACCTGTGTGGTGCCTGAGTTCCCCTATTGTCTTACTACCTATTTGGTTAGTGCACTTTGTGTGACATTCGCTATTAGAAGCTTGATTTTGCTTGACAGCAAGGTTGATATTCTTGTCCGCACACACATCTATGTTACATGCACTGATAGCTCTATAGTTTTTAGATTGCCGGGGACAGGGATGTTCTGTATCAATTAACTCACTGTCCCCGCTGTTTAGTTTAAATATTCCTCCAGAAAATCTGTGAATTTATAGCCAAGTAACTCAGTCCCTTTCTTTGATGGATGCAAACCATCTCTTTTGTACATTTTTTCATTGGACCAGCTACAGACATCGTGACTAATATATCCAAACCCTCCCCCTTTACACCACTCCTTTAGCCACATATTGAATTGTGCTATACACTAATAATAGTGAATCAATAATAATGAAATAATAGTAAATAATAATGACAATAGTGAATAGTTAATAAGTGAATCACTGCACACACTTAAGTGAATCTGGCTTCGCTATTGACTTTGATTGTCAGAAGGTCACAAAAGATAATCACACGATCCCAGGACACCGCAACCATTATAAATACGAACCAGTTGCCAAATATCTGAATTTTGATTACGTGATCATGGCATGCTGCAATGGTCGTAAGTGTGAAAATGGTCATAAGTCACTTCTTTTCAGTGCCATTGTAAATTCGACTGATCACTGAATGAATTGTTGTAAGTCGAGGACAGAATCCTTGTAACCATTCTGTAAAACGTTGTACCCTTTGTGTAGTAGGTGAAGTAGGAAAGATGTATTTGGGTGTCCTCCATATAGATAGACTATATCTCCCAGAGATGCTAATGCTTGTTGAGAAATTCTGGGAGGTGTCTGATTATAGCAGCTTTTTAAACTAGGGACTTCCCAATTTGGAATTCAGAATCTTCAGCCCTTTGAATCTAATTTTCACCCACTGGGGAAAATGTTACGGTTTCTGTGATAATTTAATCCTTCATTTGAATGTAACTTTCCTGGAATAAAAAGTAAAAAAAAATGCAATGCCTTTAAAGGAAGAATAGTTGAATGCATGTTTCCATCAATGCTTCCTACATTTCTCTTGGAGCACACATTTGCCCTAAAAAAAGACATGTAACCATGTAGCTGTGTGCCAAAAAATAGTCTTCCACTTCACTACTAAATAGTAAACAATAATGGTGGGACTAGCCCAGAACCCAGTGATCTGAGCTAGAGAGAGCCCTCTATAACCAAACAAACGCCCAGGAAAATAATGAGAAAACATTGTTTCTCAGCTTCAGTATTGCTTTTTCTCACCTCCTAAAAACATTGTTATTTAGTGCTTCTTCAGTGCCATAAATTTGACAATCTTTGCCATTTGACAAATATTATTTGGGATTGGATTTTTTTATATTTGTTTGTTTGTTTGTTTGTCTGTCTTGCTTTGACTGATGCTTTTCTTTTCCTGACTGAGGTGTAAGGTTTTTGTCTGGAATCAGAAAAGGACTTCTGGAATCAGATCTCAGTCAACAAAGCAACTTGCCTGGGCTCTTTCAGATTCATACTTAGTGGTTTTCCCTTGCCTCTTTTGCAGAGTAAGTGTCCTAGTTGGAGCTCCTAAAGCCAACACAACCCAGCCAGACATAGTGGAAGGAGGAGCCGTCTACTATTGCCCTTGGCCAGCTATGGAGTGCAAACAGATCCCTTTTGATAATAAAAGTAAGTAAATTGTTTCTGTGTCATTTGCATGGGAATGTTCAACCAAACAGTGCCACTGATCATTGTCTCAGGTGCGCGCAGATTGGATGTTCCGTTCATTATGTCAGTTTGTCTGATCTAAATCAGTGGCTCTTTAGAGAAGACACAATTCTTGGATATTGTATATGCTGTATCGCCTTGTGCAGAAGACCTTGTGCAGAAGAGTCCCAAGAGAAGTAAAGTGATGTCCAAAAGTTGGATTTATATATCTTCCATCTTAGCAAAAGTATATGATTATACTTGATTAGACTTAAATGGAATCTATTTTATTCACCTGCCCATTTAGGAGTTAGATTTTTAGTTCATTTAGTTCATTTTCCTCCAGATTTTTAATAGTTCTTCTAAAAATTGCTGGACCAGTTGCAACAGGCCAAGTTATGGATCTTTGGGGGAAGATATACAAAGCATCTGAAAAATAGGTATACTTATTTATATTAAATGTCCTGTCTGCATATCCACAGTAGTATGGGGCTGTTTATTCAGAGACTGATTCTTCTGTAATACTTCAAACACTGTGCATCTCTCAATCACTACAGAAAGTGCTGCAAGAGAACCATCTTCTAAACAAATACAGGTAGTCCTTTACTGCTTCATTTAGTGACTATTCAAAGTGTCAACAGTGTAAAGAAAGGATTTGCAACCAGTCTTTGTCTGTTTGCTCATTCATTCATTCAGTTTGTATGGCCTCTAAACTCAGTACAGGTGAACAGGTGAACAATCACACAAATTACTATTACATAACAAAAAGTAAAATAACACAAAGAGCATGTTGTAATTCATGGTTGTTAACACAGCCAGGAGATGGGATCTGTCACACACTCTGAGTCCTAGGCCCAGGCACATAATCAAATCTTTTGACTGTTAGGAAAGCCAGCAGGGTCAGGACCATTCTAATATCCAGAAGAAGGATGTTTCATAGAATGTGTGCTACAGCAAAAAAGAAATGTTTCTTGGTCCCCACTAGCTGGTATTCCCTGGACGATGGGATCTGAGAGCACGCTCATTCTGCCAGACCAGTTTGGATGGGCACAAAAAACTGGTATAAGATGGTTCTTCAGATAATTTGGTCCTAAGCCATGAAGCTGACAACTAGCCCCTTGAGTTGCATCTGGAAGCACAATGGCAACTAGTACAGGCCACTGAACAGGCATAAAGTAATCAACCCTAAAAAGAGAATGTGAGAAAATCCCATGTATTCTGCATCAGTAGAAGCTTCTAAATGCCCTTCAAGGGCAGCCCCATGTAGAGCACATTGAGTAATCCAGACAGGAGATCACAAGGGCATGAGTAACAATGTGCAGGGCTTTCTGGTCCAGGAGTGGGCACAGCTGGTACATAAACTGAAAATGTATAAATGGCTGCCATCATCTTTTCCAACAGGAGCCATGAGTTCAAGAGGACCCCCCCCCCAGATTACTTTTAGTGCTGTCAGAGAGAGTGCCACTCCACCCAGGACCAAAGATAAAAGGTTGTTAGCATCAGAATGTCCAACATCCAAAGCCACTTAATTGACTTGAAGCCTATTGTAACCCATCCAGGCCTGCACAGCCTCAGGCACTGAGATAGGATGACCATGGCAAAACTCTGGTGACTTGGGATGGAGATATAAAAGTGGCTATCATCAGCCTACTGATGACATCTCACTCCAAACCATTGGGTAACTTCACCCAGTGGCCTCATGTTGACATTCAACATGGATCATCCCTTTCTCCCCTCATGTTGATATTCATCACGAGGGGAGAAAGGGATGAGCCCTATGGCACTCCATACAATAGGGTTGGATCTCTTTTCTCCTGTCCAAACTGACTAGACCTGGCCCCAGAGGAAGTAGGAGAATCAGCACAGTATAATGCTACCCACCTCCAATCCAAAGATGGTTCAAAGGGATACCATGACTGATGATATCAAAAGCTGTTGAGAGGTCAAGAGGAGGAAGGATGGATACACTACTCCCATCCTGCTTCCGCAGAGGAAGAATTTATTCAGTGCTCACTCAGTCCCACATCCTCTCCCGAATTACAACTGAAATGGTGATGGTAATCTGTTTTAATCCAGAGTCCTTTGAATGTGAGCACCTTCTCACAATCTTCCCTAAAAAGGGATTGTTAGAAACTGGATGAAAGCTATCTGGATTAGCTGGATTGAGCAATGGCCCTTTAAGATCTGGGCATATCATCAGCTCCTTAAGAGAAGACAGGGGCATCCTTACCAGTTAATCATCTTAAGTTAGGATTGTCCCTACATCCTATCATTATATGACTCCATTCTTTTGTTTCATAAGCAGCAGAGTTAATGGAGAACATGGAAGTAAGATTGCAAGTCACAGTCATGTGATGTCTTGTTTAATGACTGGTGATTCATTTAACAATCAAACTGGAAGTGATCTATATGTTGAGATCATATGATTTTTCACTTAGTGACCATGGCAGTTAGCAACAGAGTTACCAATCCCAATTGTAGTCTACCTATGCTTTCACTTCTCTGTGAACATGACATTTTCTTTCTTTCTTTCTTTCTTTCTTTCTTTCTTTCTTTCTTTCTTTCTTTCTTTCTTTCTTTCTTTCTTTCTTTCTTTCTTTCTTTCTTTCTTCTCCTTCCTTCCTTCCTTCCTTTCTTTTTTTCTTCTCCATCCATCCATACTTCCATCCATTTATTTTCCTGGGCCAGGTTATATTTGAAAAGATTAAAGTTATGGAAGGAAAAAAATGTTTTAGCTTGGTTTTTAGCTTGCCATGGATCTACTAGGAGAGAAACATAACTAATTTCTGCAAAGATCCAAAATGGAATTCTTTATATCTGTCATTCTTAATTTTTTATATCTCCTTGTTTATATGTAATTTCTTTTTCGTTGTTGTTTTAAATACATATTTGATTTTATACAAGTTGGTTCATCATTGGCTTCTAAAATTAAAATGTGCTTAAGGTTGGGATTTAGCAGCCTTCTATATAACAAATCTTCTGCCCATTAAAAGCATAAAAGCACCCAGTTTTGCATGCATATTTCTCTCAAAGTAATGGAGGCTGGATGGAAATTAACAGAGGAATAATATGGATCACATCCAAATGCCTCCACCCCCACCCCCAACAGATGGTTCTTATTTAATTAAAGGGAAAACACATTTGAAACAATTTGTGCAGTTTGTTTTCTGTTGTTTCTGTATGGCCCTCAAAATCGATTTATTGCTAGTGTCTTCTGAAACATTAAAAAGGAAAGACTTTAATTTAAACAGATCCGATTGTTAGAAGTGACAGCTAGGATTCATCAAGTTCAACTTAGTTTTTTCTGGTACTTTCGTGTGTGTAAGAGTGTCCCCATACTCATTTTGATGTCATAACTTCTCTGGAAGAAAGAAACAAAATCAGTACAGTAAACCAAGAGCTTAGACCACTTAATAGCTTTCAGAATAAATATTCTCCTGCCCATAAATTAACCATTCAGAATTAAAGTCCAAACATAAAACAGCTGAGAAACAGCATTTTACCCTGTAAGATGCAATGGATTAGATTTAGGTCAATCTTCACATTCAAATGTTGATATTCTTAGACTGAGGGACATGGGCAAATACTTTGGTAGAATGAAATATAGTTTCTGAAAGCTTACATCACTTACATCTAGTCTTCTCATCCTCTGTATCCCAAAAGATCTTGGTAAAGAGGTTAGGAATGGAGTCTAATTGGTTTATTATTATTTTTTATTAAAAGGGAGCGCTTCAAGTGTTATAATCTTTTTATAGAAGGCTTGGAATTATGTTTATCCAAGTTCTGGATGTCACAAAAAATATAAAGGAGGTAGAGAAATACTATTAAAACAGCATATTTTAGATGCAGAATTTTGGGGCACACGAATTTAAGTGTAAATTCAAACTCTTTGATCAGTTTGCACAATAAAATAATTTAAACATTGCTATTACATAAAAATAGATTACAAAGGACAGCTGCAAGTAAGAATATAAAAATATCAGGCAATCCACATTCCTATTTTGGACCCCATTTCCAGCTTGTTCTTAAATGCTGAACATAAGACTTCTTTGAAAGGTTTTTCACACTTGGAGGGGAGGCTGTTGTTTTCTCTCCCCCATCCCTGACTATGCTAGCTTTTTGGATAGTATATGGGATTTCTAATCTTTCCTTGCAAGGAAACTGCACAGCAGAGTTGGATAGGTTTCTCACTTCTGTTGCCAATAATAACAGCCATGTAGTCAGTGGACCAGCAATGGAAAGAAGATAACTTTCTACAAGTGGTTTTATTGAAAAAACAATAGAAATTATACATATGTCTTATATCAATTTGAAATGATTCCGTTCTGCTTTGAAGTTGTTCAAGGTACCCTTTTTTCCCATTTGGCAGAAAGCACCAAAAATTGAACAATCTCAGCCAAATCTTATGAGATCTCACTACAATCTCATGTTGGGTGAATCTGTGAAGGATGGGAATATTGCTACCTACTAGTAAAGTAACAGTTCTCTACCATCTCATGTGTTATACAGTGCGTTACCAACCCAATCCTGTAGCAGTCATTAGTGACTTAAACATGCTGGATCAAAGCTGATCCTATCTCGTTGAGTACAATATTCTGAGACACAGTGGCCACATAGGAACCTCTTAGGGCAGAAAAGCAGACCTTATATATCCATTAAGAAGGCAATCTGGAACATTAAAGATTCATATAAATTGGACAGGATAATGAAGATACTTAGATAATTCAGAATAGAGTCTATTGAAGAGGAGACTGAATGAATTAGGAATGTTTAACTTGTAGGAAACATTGAAGAAAAATATGATACGATCATTCAAGTATCTGAAAGAATGTCACAAAGAAAAAGACTAGGATCTGTTCTTCACTGTCCCAGACATAGAGAAATGGATTTAAATTGCAGGAAGAAAGATTCCATTTGACTATTAGGAAAAGAAATTGTTATAGTAACTGCAGTTTGACAATGGAACCAATTATTCATGTTCT